GGCCGGCCTAAAGCTTGTAGTATTTAAATACATGAAAAATCAAATACTAAAATAAAAATTACATAGGTAACGAGAAATAAGGTGATATTAAGGAAACGAAAAGTTTTCTTAGGATACTAAAATACTCTTGTGATTTTAAAATTTGATGAGAGGAGATTCTGGGGAGGAAGGCTTTGTGTATGCTTAGAACCCCTGGTCTCTGTCGGCTCTCTGTTAGACTGGTGAAACCTCCAAGCGCAGATAGCACATGGTGCTGGCAGGTTAACTGGCGCTCTGAATTGCCATAGCTTTTGTAGGTGTCTACTAAAATATGAAAAGGGAACTTTAGGAATCTGTCCTACAGAAATGAAATAACTAACATATAGATATGATCATATTTATTGCAGCATTATTTGTACTGACAAAAACCAGGAAACAACCTGAATGTCTGCCTGTGAGCAGGGAAGAGCTTGAATAAATTGTAGTACATCTGTACCACAGAATATTATGCATCCTTTAAGTTGAGTTGTTTATATACATGCAAAAACACTCATGATATAGTAAGAGAAACATGCCAGTTTTACAGGGGTATGATCCCTTTTTGTAAAATGAAAAGGGGCATGGGAACCTTATATGTGGGCCTTTGTATGCTGTATGTGCATACAAAAGGTATCGATTAGATGCACACCCAACTTTTCACATTGGTCACTCAACTAGCAGGTTAAAGGGGGGAGAAGGAAGCTGCTAGCTTTTCTTTGACTTTTTATTTGACTAGGTTAAAAAAATATTTTTAAAGCCTTGCAAAAATTATAAAAGGCCTTCAAAAATTCTTTCCTTTGAAAATGAGAAAGGATAGTGTGAAATCATCTTGGATACTATAAAAGGACAAAAAAGGAGTAGTTGTGGAGTGGCCGTGTTGTTTCCTCTGGTAAGGGAGTGGTTTAATTTAGTTGACCTGCAGTGTGTGTCTTCCATTTTATTATCCTCATTTCCTTTTAATAATATGTACTTTATATTTCTATTGTTTTGGACCATTGTTTTCATGATTTTCATGATTAAAGTGTGCTTGAGTTTTTTTTATAATAGTGTCCTATCTACATCTTTCCTTCTCTTTTTGATTTATTTGATTGTTCACTTCTCTCTAGCTTGAAGATGATATTATTGTCAAGCAGAATTATTTTAATACTATGAAAAATTTTGCACTTCAACTTTCTTCTGAGGAATGGATGATTCTAGAGTTTTCCCAGCTGGGCTTCATTGGTAAGAAAAGTGTCACATTCATCTAATTTTCAAGAATAACTCTCAGAATCTTAAACCAATTGCTTTTTTTAGTTGTAAAGTTGTCTTTGTTCAGTGGAAATAGATTATTTTTGAGAAAATTTGACTTAGGTAACCTCTTTGTAAGAGATAAAGTCAATCCAAGATAGAATTTGGCGACTTCTAAGATTGTAGCATTTAGTCTAGAGTTCTACACAGTGCCACCCATGCCTGGGGAGCATGTTTGATTTCTTCTTCTCTGACACCTCCAGTTCTTTAGTTATTGCGAGATTTAGGTTCTTTTAAATAGAATGCCACAGAAAGGTTTTCTCATATGAATTCCTGGTATTTTTATGTAGCATGTAAAATTCTCATTCAGTCATTGATTTTTATTCATTTGGTTTTTCATTAACTAGTTGGGGTGCTCATTTTAAAACTTTTTTTCCCACTAATGTTCCTGAATTAGCTAACTAAAAAATATGTTTAAAGTTGAAGAACTGAAGGAAATTTACAAATTAAAAAAAAAAAAACACTCAGACGATAACATTTTACTTTTCATAGTACTTTAAAACTCTTAAGTATTAGAGGCTGGGCCTTGGATTTTGTTGATCATTTAACTCGAAACTTATTTTAAGTCAAAAACCACTTTTACTTGTGAAGTTTCAGTGAATACAAAAGTAGGAGTCCTTGTTTTTTGGATTTACTGATTTAGATAAAAATTTTTTGCCTATACTTCTCATGTTCCTTTTATATGGGAAGAATCTTAGTAAGGAAGGAAAAAATCTCTCATTTGCTTTTTGAGTCCTTTGAGCCCATAGTTGTCTGATAGGTTTTGTAATAATGTCAGGAGTTCACTGTTTCTGTTTATATCCAGGTGACAGCTC